CGGTGGGTGGTGATGACTAGCTGCCTTCCCTCTAGTCTTACACTGCTAAATTAGGGATGGCTAGCGCAGATAGCCCTCGTGTAGCTTTGCGCGAAATTCCAAAACAAACAACAAACAATAAACTAGAGGAAAACATATTTCAATCTTTGAAATATTTTCTCTTTTTGTCAGAAATACGTGCTCTAAGATCTACCAGAAAAGAAACAGATATTTTTCATAAAATAATTTGTTTATGTCATGAATCTCTTGTTTTATTAAATTCAACTTATCGTGATATAGTTATCAATCTGTTTAGTACTTCTATGTATAAAACCATTATTATTTGTTATAAATTTTTATGACCACAGTTTCAAAATATCGTTACAAAGCTGTATTTCCTATACAATTAAATAAACGTTTCCATCAGGTGAATATAACTTTGTAACTTGTACAAACTCTAATAACTCTTGACAAGTAAGCTTCACACATGTTAGAAAACTAGTTGAGAAAGTTATGGCTTTGTGAAGCCTTCAGATTCCAAGTAACTTGTCCAGGTCTTGACAAATTAAGATACCTAATAATGATAATGAAACTTGCTCAGACCCTCAAATATAAAGCTTATATCACTGTAACCCATCCAGATCCAACTATTCAAAATATTAAAAATAACGCACAAAAAATGCACCCAAATTAAGCTACTTGCTGATAATGCTGTGATGTTTGTAGATCCGACCACATTAAGTGTTTAATTAATAACACTAACTCACAGATAGACTGAGATACCAACAACACATTATACTGAAATCAGAAGATAATGTACATTAATAGATTTTATTGTTCAGCGTAGAACATCAAACACTTCAATCAATGAAATTAATTCATGCTATATCACATATTTCTGAATATATATATATATTTTTAACCAGACAACATACATATATCCAGTATGTATACTAACATGTGATACTCGTCAATGTGTTTCAGATAACATGTTGTGTGGAAATGTTCATGCTTGGTTTCTTGGAGGCAGCGGAACCGTGCGAACAACAATAGAATGGTGTCTCAAAACTATGGCCGCATACCCGGATGTTCAGAAACGAGTGCAAAACGAGATTGACAGTTTTATTGGTAGAGAAAGGTTACCATCCTGGGATGATCATGTACACCTTCCTTACACCCATGCTGTTCTTTATGAGGTCCAAAGATGGCAGACTATAGCACCTCTCGGTGTCTTAAGATGGTAAGTATTTTCATTTTTATAAAATAATTTTTCAGGTTATTTTTTTAATGTAATATCTCATTAAAAGTCGCTATATGAAAAACAGTAAGAATAATTACTTAACTTTCATACTTAAAACGTACAGAAATCGTATTCAGAATCCAATACTTGACCAAAAGTCATTATTTTGTGTATCAGGTATGTAAAACCAACAATTCTACAAGCGATACAATATATTACTTACTGGCTAGAGCAATGTTTCGGGGCTTCTAATTTCATCATCTATAGGAGGAACTTGGCATTAAAAGATGGTTTGATTTAAGATAAACATACATACTGTAATATAAAAGAAAAGTTAGGGTACAATGTCACCCTGTGTAATGTAGCTTTAGTTAGGGTACAATGTCACCCTGTGTAATGTAGCTTTAGTTA